TTTTTTTTTTTTTTTTTTTGCAATGAATTTTTTTAAAAGTATTTTATTGTGTTTAAGGTGAAAGTTTGCACAGAAAATTAGGTTCCCACTTAACAATTTCTGCACAAGTTATCCAATGATAATGGTTATATTTTCCACAGTGTATCATCATCTTTGTTCATTCTGTTCTGGTTGTACCATTTCCTGTGCTCTAGTTTCCCTGTCACCATCTCATCTTTGTGTCAGAGTACTTTTTGACCCTGTGGTCTCCTATAGATGAGTTTTTAAAGGAGCTCGGTCCTTGCAGATGATATTCTTTATTTTTATGAGTCAGTTGACTAGTACAAGGAAGTGGGTGAACTGGAAAAGGCAGACCAGCTGCAGCCAGACATGCTGGGGTCAGTGGCAGCACACCTGGCCTGGTAGGAGTGTTTCAGGAGAGATAGGTGATATACTAATTTACAGACATAGCCATTTCAATGGCTCTTCTATCAATGCCACTTGTTCAATGGCAAGTAAAGAAATGAGAAATACCTTGCACCCCCTCGGGGGTGCTAGGAAGGAACGGTTCAGTGGGACCCCTGGATGTCTTGTGAAATTCCCCCGGAAAGCTCCCCACCTGGCCTCTGTGTGCATCTTCGTTTTCTTCTCCCCTGCATGTCATTTTAAACAAGGAAACTGGCCCGCAGACAATGAAGATGCGCTTCTCTCCCAGGTAGAAAGGAATCCTTAACGAGGGACAAGGTTGGTTCGCCCCTCCCGCTCCACCCCCAGTGAGGTTGGGTGCAGCCTGAAGCCACCCTCGGCAGAGGGGGGCTCCAATTAAAGGGGAAATTAATTTACCTTTTGGAGCCCTACCTGTGACTGTGCAGAAATTGTTAAGACAAAAGCAGCATCTAATTTGACTCAGCGGGCACCATAGCGAAGTTGGGGGCGCTTAATAGCCCTTTAAATGTCCATGCACCAACAATGGTCTGTCTTTCTTCCCCCTTTCTCCTTTGTCAGAACCAATACAGGGCAGATGTGAAGTGGATGAAAGGCGCGGGCTGGGTCGCCACCGGGTCATTAAATGTGGAGCAGGCAAAGAAGGCAGGAGAACTCATTAGTGAGGTGAGATTTCCTGACAGCGTGTAGCAGGCCTGGCTGCATTAGGCGTGCTGCGCGTCTGTATAAAATTAAAATAATTTCCACTCAAAAGGCAAAGAAAAAGGCAAAGCCACATGAAAGGCCTACAAACCCAGGCTAGGGCTGGTAATTAGAGGGAAGCCACATACCAAATACACCCCAGTAGGGGCCCATCGAGCCCAAGCAAAAACAAAGTGGGTGACAAATGATATTATGAATAATAATGACAATCAAACAGAGTTCAATTGCTACCCACCAACTTACCTTTTTAATGAAGCAACACAAGAGCAATGATGAAAAGGTACATTTATTGCACCCAGAGAGCCCTTTAGTGGCTTTCTGCATACTTTCCTTGCTCTCTTCCCACCACAGTGTAAACAGTTTGTGGATGTTCATGTGACATCCATCACGTGACAGGCTCTGTCTTGTGGAGGTCCCACTTCCAGGTCTGCCTCACTCTTGCCAACTTACAGCCACCCTGGCTGGACCTGAGCCATCGTGCTGATGAAAAGAGCCCCTTCCTCACATTTTTGGAACAGTGTCATTGAGCAGCTCTTTGTTTGGTTTTTGTAACTATTTTTTTGAGAAATACATAAGGTACTGAGAGTTCCCATACTTCTCTGCCTGCCCCCACCCCGTTTCACCTGTCGTTAACACCTTGTGTTAGTGTGGTACGTTTGTTACAATTGATGAACTGATACTGATTATTATTAACTCAAGTCTGCAGTTTACATTTAGAGAACTGTTAGGGTTAAGTGAGTTGTGACCCACAGTGATCCCGTGTGTGTCAGAGTGAGCTGTGCCCTGTAGGGTTTTCAAGGGTTGATTTTTCACAAGGAGATCCTCAGGCCTCTCTCCTGAGGTGCCTCTAAACCCAAAACCAAACCCAGTGCTATCAAGTTGATTCCGACTCATAGAGACCCCCACTGGGTTTCCAAGGCTGTAAGTCTTTCCAAAAGTACATTGCTTCATCTTCCTTCCATGGAACAGCTGCTGAGTTTGAGCCGCTGACCTTCTGGTTAGCAGCCAGATGTCTTAGAGGTGCCTCTAGATGGATTCAAACCACCAACCTTTCAGTTAGCAATTTGCACCCCCCAGGGGTTCCCTTTTAAAGACCAGAGCAGGGTTTCCCAAACTAGCATTCCTGATACTTGGGGGCAAATCATTCTTTTTGGGGAAGCTATCCTGTGCCCTGCAGCATTGTCAGTTGCATTCCTGGCCTCTACTCACTCGATGCCGGCAGCAAGGCCAACCCCACTGCGGCTGTTTCAGGCATTGCGTAACAACCCCTAGGGGCCAGAATTGCCCCGGTGGAGACCACAAAAAAAATAACAACAACAAAAATAAAAACCAAACTCAGTGCCGTTAAGTTTAATCCGACTCGTAGTGACCCCTCTTTGGGTTTCCGAGGTATATCTCTATGAAAGTAGATTGCCCAAGGACACCAGACACCAAGAATTGTAAGTTGGCTCATGTCAAACAGAGGCTGAATGCCATCACACAACCCAAATCCACTTCCGAGTCTGAGGAGAGACCTGCTCAGAAGGCAGTTAGTTGCCTTTGGAATAATCTGGTCTTTCTGGACTTTTCTGGGAAGAGAAGAGCCAGTCAGGACCACAGCCCAGAAGACTTGCACTTGGTGATGAGCCCCCTGGGGCCTTGTTTCCAGGAGACTTTCTTACTGATTCTGTAGTTACAATAGTGGAAGATCGATGCTGGTTTTTCAAACACACCTGCCCAGCATTAACATTTTCCTGTGGGAGAGCATTCTAGTTCCACATCACAGAACTGATCTCAGAAGTGGCCTCACTCTGATGGGGCTGGTTTTTAGGGACCTTGGTCCACAACCTGAGGTTCAGTGGAGCCTAAACTGCCCTACGTTGTTCAGTCTGATGGAGGAAGGGCCCCTGAGGACGATGAGCATGGAAACTTACAGGAACAAACATGGGCTCACCCAAAAAGGGAAGCGAAGAATAAAAGCCAACATGCGCATAGTTTAGGCCTCAAGAGGATCCCTTCCTGTGTCTAAGTCGGGCAGCAGAGGGATCTTTTGAACCATTTATTCCACAGTGGTCTCGTTTTGCAAGCTTACTAAACAACTGTGCTTTTCATTCCTTGATATCTTTGCCTCCTGCCAGTCCTTGAACTCCAGTAAGGCAAGACATTTTTTCAGCAGATTCTTTCTGTTTAGTGTCAAATTGGGCTGACCTTTTAACTTTCAGACTAAATGGCAGGTGCTGCTCAAAGATCCCTGAGTAACTAACACACCCATCATCGAAAGCAGGGATCAGCAAACCTTTTCTATAAAGGCCACAGGTCTCTATTGAAACTCCTCAGTTCTGCCTTGTAGCATGACAGCAATCATACCAAAAAACAAGAAAACCCTAAACCTGTTTCTGTGGAGTCGATTCTGACTCATAACAATCCTATAGGACTGAGAAGAACTGCCTCATAGCGTTTCCAAGGCTGAAAACTTTCCGGAAGCAGACTGCCGCATCTTTCTCCCACAGAGCGGCTGAGAGGTTCGAACTGTCAACTGCCTAACCTCAGTTAGCAGCTGAGCATTTTGAGCACTGCACCACTAGGGCTCCTAAAGCAGTCGTAGACAATACATAAACAAATGAATGTGACTGTGTTCCAATAAAACTTTATTTACAAAAACAGACAGTAAGCCATATTTGGCTGGATACTGAGAGTTGTGTCTTCTTAAGACAGCCCAGTCTACAAAAACCTAACCAGATAAATGAGAGAGTGTTATAAAATAATTATTTGATTTGAGAAAAAATACACTCCATAGCTCCAGCAAAAAAGCAATCATGTTAGTCATCTGGAAATGTACTTTAATTTTTAAAAAAGGAATTCATTTAAGTATGATTTTCAAACTCCATTAAAATCGGGTGCCACAGTCTTTGCCAGCTTGCAGATTTTCTGTAATTTTGTTTTGTTTCAACGTCTTTCAAATTGTGTGATGACTCCTTTGAATAATAGCATCTTTTTCTAATTACTGTAATATCTCAAAGAATTACTGCGTGTGTTAACTGAGCCAGGCTCTAAAGTGTTTGGGGGGGGGGTGTGCTCACTCACTGTTCAATGCAGGGGTTTTGACTGTGATAATCTCTGCCAAATCCTTTTGTTTGGGGGGGGGGGAGCTTCAATTGAGACATGTCACTATGGATACATCTTTCTTGCTTAGAAAGACCCAAAGCAAGGTATGTAAACAAATAAGCGACAGTATTTGAAGCCTATAAAAAGAATCCTGTCCTAAGCGTGTCTTCCACAGCCTTTTACTGGCACAAGCTAATTTCTAGATGTTTTCTTTCCACCAGGTAGAAATACTTTAATGTTAATTGACATAAGGTTATTCTTAAATTGAAACAAATATTAACCTGAAGGCCCTGAGGAGATAAAGATGGAGGAAGCAGAATAATAATTATGTTCACAAATTCACTCTAATCTCAGGCAACCTATGATTTTCTCTTTCAAATGGCATGAAAAGAACAGCACAAAATTCACAGCTTTGATCTTTTTCTGCTCAACAGAGGAAGTACCGTCAGCATCCTGATGCTTTGAAGTTTACCAGTATTAAAGACACTCCGGAGATGGTCCAGGCCCGAATTAGTTATACCCAAGCCGTGGATGTAAGTGATAATGTATATACATTATGACTCTAGAAGTGGGCTCTTCTTTCAACACAGCGATTGAAGCACAGGGGTTCTTGGGCTGGTTCCTTCTGTTGTCCTGAGGATGAAGGAGCTTCTTGTCCTTTGCGGAGGCCCACCTTAGCGGGGGTGCCTCCTCATTAAGATGCAAATGGGATGTGACCACACTTAGGATGCCAAGTGGAGCTCTGCCGCCCCACAGCCCCGAGGTGTGCTTTGCTTGCCATCGGCGTGTCTCAAGGATTTGTCTGTGGTCGGGCCTTTTGCTCTCGGCTTTTATTTGAAAGCCTTGGTTCCAGAACTGGGAAATTCTGGGTAATTGGAATATTGAAGACGTGCTTCAGGCTTCTTGGGCAGGAATTGATGCTCTTCAAATTTTCTAAAGACTTTGAAACGGATTTGAGTCTGATTTATCCTTGATAGATTAACTCTGGAAACGTTTCCCCTATATGATGTGAAACCAAAATTTGTCCCTTCATTCCTCTAGTGCGGGGTTTGTTGGAGACTAAACTGAATGGTAAGACCTATTACAATTCACTTTGGGGTGTAGATTGGCCCCGTCTGGCCAATTCTGCTGAGAGGCCCCTCGACCTTTGTGTAGGGGAGACACGCTTTTAAATTTCTCCAAACCATTCAACTGGCCACGAGGGTAATTGAACAACCTTGGGTGAGAAGGATCAAAATTCTCTCCCCCAATTTCCAATTTTACAAATCCTTCTGGGTGTCCATTATCTGACAGTCCTTCTAAAGTGGCTTGAGTGCCTGTCAGGATGTGTGATGAGGTGATTTACAAGGCTGTGGATCTAAGGATTAATAATAATTTCTTGAAATCTGTTCATCAGAGTCCAATTGAATTTTGAGGAAAGTTGATGGTCAAACACAGGGTTTTGTGTGAAGAAAAAAAACGTACCTGCTTCTTCCTCACACTAACCAACTCTAGGGGGCGCCGCTGCGATGTACAGAAGCTTGGACCCTGCTGAGATTGGAGATAAGCCCTGCTTAGAGACTTTCTCTGGTGGCAGGGAAATTTGGCTGATGCCAGCTCCATGTGCCCTTGCTAACTGCTGGGATATCACAAACCCGAATCAGAGTTGTGGGTGACTAGAGCCCTAAACCCACCCAGGGGATGTGTATCAGTGCACGAATCCTCGAGATGGGGAAGGGAGGACAAGGGTTGGAGCCAGTGTGGGTTAGCCATCATCTACCATGCCTTCCGAACCTTGATGCTGTCTCATGGCTTATAGTTAATCACCAAATTACTAGATGGACTAGAACTCATTTTCTCATTTGACACCCGTCTCAGCCGATACTACAAGTATGGCATGCACTGTGCCGAAAGTTTCAGCCTGTCATGTTCTGAGCTGGAAGGAGAAGTCGGGAGGGAAGGAAGCACTGTGAAACCCCGATGGAAATGGGGAGCTTCTGTGCCCATTTCCACAGGGTGATCTCAGCTACCTGTCTCTCCCAGCATAACCTGGCTGATGGCTGCATAGGGAGGCTTCTGGGTTTAATCTAAAACCTCTCTCCAACCACAGAGGTTATACAAGGAGCAAGGAGAAAACATAAAACATCACTACACACAGACGGCAGACCTTCCTGAAGTCCTGCTGGCCAAGCTGAATGCCATGAATCTCAGTGAGGTGAGGTTGCAGAAGGGGTACAGGTTTGATAGAAAAATGGTGAGCGCACCCTGTTAAAGGAGGAAAACTGACGAGACCAAGAAAAACAAGGCAGTCTTGTGGAGCTTTGGTTCTCAGGGTTCCCTGTGATTATTTTTAAACAAGGGGCCCTGCACATCGTGGAGTCCCTGGGTGGTTTAAACGGTTAACATGCTCGGCCGCTAACTGAAAGGATGGAGGTCCAGGTCTGCTCAGAGGCACCCAGGAAGAAAGGCCTGGAGGTCACTCTCTGAAAGATCAGCCCCCGAAACCCTGTGGAGCACAGTTCTCCTCTGACACACACCTGGGGTTGCCATGAGTTGGAGTTAACCCAGTGGCAACTGGCTTTTTCTGCAAATGGTGTAACCTATCCTGCAGAAGGGTCAAGTTCATGTAAAGGAATAGAACTGGGAGAATGTCTGACTTACTACAAAGGGCATCTGTGCTGAGGAGCCAAAACACAGGAGTGGCGCATCTAGCCGAGTATATCCAGTGGTTGTGCCGGTGAACAAAACTGGGGTCCTAACTTGTCCCCTGCATCATCTCTACCAGGTCCCCTCTCTTTGATAGAGATGTTTCACTTTTCTTATCTCCAATAGAACTGAAAAAAAAAAGAAAAGAAAACCCAAACTCACTGCCATCGAGTTGATTCCTATTCATAGTGACCCATCTTGGGTTTCTGAGGTTGTAAATCTTTAAGGAAGTAAGTTGCCCCATCTTCCTTCCATGGGGCAGCTGGTGGCTTTGAACCACTTACCTTCTGGTTAGCAGTCAAATGTCTTATCCACTATGCCACCAGAGCTCCTTTTCTATCTTACATAAAGAGCTGTGCAAATGCACACACAAGCCTCCTTCTTCCAATCAAATCACTGCTTAGAAAAATCTAGATCTGACTCCAAAGATTTTGCTTGCAAGCACTCTGTGGCTCTACCCCTAATGGTGGGCGTGAAGTAGGATCCAACACTTTGGTGGTTTTTGCTAAGCCACAGTGATCTCTAATGCCAAGTAGGGCGAAAGTTCCCACCACAACCTCATTTTGGCTAAACAGGGTTTAGGAAACCAATGGGTTGCATGAAAATCTTCATTTGTACACATCTTCCCAACAGACGCGTTACAAGGAATCCTGGAGCAAACTTCGAGACAGCGGATACAAACTAAGGTTGGACGCCATTCCATTCCAGGTGGCAAAGGCTTCTGGTGAAATCATAAGTGATGTGAGCAATGATTAACACTAACCAATTTTTACTCCTTTTACCCCCAACCCAGATTGTCCTTTTTTCACCTGTGGGTAATATCCTATTGTCTCTAAGTTTTGTTAGGGAAGTCAGATAACCTGGTGAGGTTGTATCTTACAACAAAAAAGTCCCCTAACCTGGGGTACAAAGCTCAGCATTGAGCTGTCAACATGAGTCCTAGGCATATCACCAAGCGTTTTCACCAAGCCAGTCCATGTGCTAACAACACACCCACCTTCTTCCTGCCTGGGCTGCCCAAGTGCTACTGCGTCCTGCCATTTCATAGTGGAGCCCTTTAGTTATTGGAGGGTTTACATATGAAAGAATAGACTTTCAACAACTCCGTGTTTTCTTTTGACTCACCCAGTTAATGTCAAAAGAACAAAACGTTTTTCCCCAATACCCACCTCTTCCATTTCGGGTCCCTTGTCCTGGAGCTAATGCTCTCTCCCACTCTCTTTCCTTTCAGTATAAATACAAAGAGGCATTTGAGAAAATGAAAGGACAGATGCTTGGCTCCCGGAGCTTGGAGGATGATATCAGCCTTGCACATGCCGTGGATGCAACCTTGCTGCAGAGTGATGTAAGTCGACAATAAACAGGGAGCTGTGCGCCCCACCGAGTGGTGCTCAAGGCACAGCCAACTCTTTTCCTCTGCCCTTCTGGATGTGGGTATAGGCTCTGTCCCTAACTAGCTAGGTGGCATTGTTAAGTCACTTAACCCTTCGGGGCTGCATCTTCTTCCTCTGTGAAGTGATAGATTGGGCTAGTTGACCCGTTAGTTCCCCTCCTGATGGAGCATTCTGTGACTTTGACCCATGGCCACAAATGGAGGTCCGCGAACTGGATCTGACCTGCAGATATGTTTTGTTTGGTCTGCAGAGTGATTGGAGGGAAAATTGAATTCACTGCAAATCTTTTAAAATGGAAAAGTTTACATAAAGTTTTAGACTTCTGGCCTGAAGCTGGGTCTGGATTCCCCAGGGCTTATGGTTGGTTCAAGTTGATTATCGATGGCTCCATTTAGAAGGACGTGTGCTCTCCTGGTCACAGCCTCTTCTGCTTCTTGGTCCTGGGCCCTGTAGCATCTGAGTTTGCGACCTTTGATTGCAATCCTCTAGTTGCTGATACCCACGTGGAGATGCTGTTGCACGTACAAGTTGGCTGTGGCAGGGATGAGATCGCATGTGCATCCAACATCCAACATGCTCCTCTGTAGGACTAAACACTTTTCCATGCCATCTGTCATTCAGCAGGCATTACGTCTAGGACCTCGATCTTGTTATTTATCCTGGGTTACTGATAAGGAAACGGAGACCCTGAATGGCTCAGCCCTTCGCCCAAGGTCCGCTAGAAAGGCGCAGGGTCAGTGGATCCAGCTCTGCATCTCATGTGCTTTCCACAGCACATGTTCTCTGCCTCAGTTTACCCATTGCTGATATTATTTTCTTTTCTGTCCTGGGCTGCTGATCCACGAGTTGGGGTTGGACATGAATTATTCTTGGTCTTGTGATGGCTGTAAGGGGGCAGTTACTGAAGGTGGAGGAGTATGGAGGGCTTGGCTGGAACTTCTGAAAGTTTATGAGAAGGATGGAGGAGGAAGAGGACGAAGGAGAGGCAGAGGTTTTGCAGCTTATTCCCAAGGAAGGCTGAGTGAGCTTTGTAGGCCTTAACATAGCTTCTCAAAGGCTTGGGGGTTTGGAAATGCATCTCCCCTTCCTCCCTCAGGATTATATTGGGGGATTCCTATCTCTCAAGATTGGCTCTCCAAGCATCCCTCCCACTGTTTCTGGCTCCTAGACTTAGTAGAGAGTTAATGCTTTGCATGAGCTCTTCATGAGCTAGTGTGAGAGGAGAATCCCTGGTGTCTGAAATCTGAACTCAGGTCAGTGGCAGGGAGGAAATATGGTGGGCAGGCCCCAGGTGAGCCAGCATCTTCTTGCTTCTGGAAAAGGGGATGATCTAGAGACTTGAGCAAGGGAACCACTGCTATTATGTCTGTCCCGGGAATGTTTGTGTTTTCTCCAACTTGGGGAACCATGGGCCTTCTCCTCCCAAACCAGTGGCTTCCAGGAGCCGGGGGTGGTGAGTGTCAGGACCTGGAGTTGAGCCCAGCTTAATGTGCCATCCCTGCAAGAAAGGAGTACCTGTCCTGCCAAGAACATCTGCTGGGCTTGTCCGTCTGCTGGGCTTGTCCGTCTGCTGGGCTTGTCTGTCTGCTGGGCTTGTCTGCCTGGGACAGTTGCATTGCAGTTGCTCCCCTTGATGGTTCAGAAGCAGATAATGGCTTTGAAATAGCTGCTGCGGGTGTTTGCCCTTCTAGGTGAATTACAAGAAAGGTTTTGAACACTCAAAGGCACAGTTCCATCTGCCGTTGGATATGGTAAGCCTGGTGCATGCCAAGAAGGCTCAGACTCTGGCCAGCGACCAGGACTACAAACACCCACTCCCCCAGCACACTGCCTTGGCAGAAGACCTGAGGCTGAGCTGTGCCAAGAAAGCTCACAAATTGCAGAGCGAGGTAAGAAGACCTGCTTGTCTCTTGGGACCATTTGTTTTTGCAGTGGCCTTCAAGCTCCTGTGGGCTCGGTGGGGGCTCCAGAGGTGCAGAATCCTCTAGAACTGGGGTCTTCTTTTGAAACATTGTCTGGGTGCTCCTGTCTACCCCTTAATTGCAATGACACAAACCGCACAACAACAGCAGCAACCATTTATTGGGCATTTTTGTAAGTTGTAAGCATTGTGTTTTAATGCATTATCTCATTTAATCTTCATAATAACCATATGTAGATAATCTTTATCCCCACTGAAAGATAAATTATAATGAGGCTCAAAAGTAACGCTCTTGCTCAAGATCCCCCAGCTATAAATAAGGAGCAGTGTCTTACAGGAGGCCTTGTGGCACAGATGGTTAAGCGCTTGACGGCTAACTGAAAGGCTGGCAGTGTGAACCCCCCTGAGGTGCCTCAGAAGAAAGGCCTGCCAATCTGCTCCTGAAAGGTCACAGACATGAAAACCCTGTGGAGCAGTTTTACTCTGACAAACCGGGGGTTGCCGTGACTTGGAATCAACTGGATGGCCACCGGTTTGGTTTGGTTTTTGGTGTCTTACAAAGATGCCCTCTAAGTCTGTGGTTTTGCATGTCCAGGATTTGGCAGTGGGATTATTTCCACCCTCAAATTGGAGTGGAGGCTCCTTTTCCTACGTTCCTATGGCACCTTCTTCTGAGGTTGCTAAGATCTATCGGGAGAGATTACTCAGAGTCCCTTTGGAACTGACCCACTTCAGGGAGAAGAGAACTTTGGGGGGAAGATGGGGAGATCAGGGCCCTCGGTCCTTCCCGGGTTCTCCGGGAGTGTGCAGGCCCCCACACTCCTCTGACGGGACTTCCAGCTCATCCCATCTCTTTTCTGAAGCAGGCAAGCCCAGAGGGCCGGAGTGACTGCAGCACTCTCTCCCTCCCTCCATCCCAGGAGTCCCTACTTCCCCAGCATACGGGGCCTTCCTGCTGAGTCTCCTTAGTAATGAACCTGAGTCAGAAAATGAAGCGCCACACGCAGGCGGCTTGCTGGTTTGGTAGCGCCTGCGAGCCGAGCTGCTCTCCGATCTGGGCCTGTGTGTGGCATTTGCTGAATGACACAAACTGTCAGGGGCCTGCGAGCGACTGTGGGCACTCCTGAGAGAGCTGCCACACTCTTCTGGTGGCCCTTTGTCATCTGAGCAGAGCCCTCGCTTGGCCTGCCTCTCACTGAGAGGGCAACTGGAAGGCAGCTTGCCAAGGAGGCACCGCGGTGGCTGGAGAGGAGGATGCTCCCTGGCAGAGTGAATTTGGGGACCCTTTAAACTGTCAGCCCCAGTCACTCAGGTACACACACTGGCCTCCCCCACCCAGCCCCAGACAGGCCTTTGCCAGATGATTCCAGATTCATTCATTAGCTCTTTCTTAGCCCATGATTAATTGATGCCACCCTCTGCTGCTGGGTTTTGTTTTAGAAGTCCTGTTAAGCCATTTTGCACACATGTCCCAAGACAACTGACTTTCTAAACACATGCTAGCATTGATTTTTTGATAGCCCACATTAAAATAAAAGTCTGTCTAGTGTCCCTGCAACAGCTACTCTGAGACTGCGACAGCAGAATTACTTTCTTCTGCATGTTTGTTAGAAGCATCTGTGTGTTGGCCAAGAGTAAATATCTGGAAGGCTGGCGGTTCAAACCCACCAGCCACTCCTCGGAAGGAAGGTTGGGCAATCCTACTTCCGTAGTGATACTGCCTCGGAAACCCAAGGAGGGGTCGCTATGAGTCGGGGCCGACTCGACGGCACATAACAACAACAACAGCTTTGGCCTGGAGTTCTAATGACGGCTCTCCTGGTGGTGAACATTTCACAAGTCCTGTGGCGTCTCTTCACTTCCTCGTTCTGAGAGTTTGGCTCCTGATTCTTTCTGTTGTTCCTTATAGAATTTGTATCGGTCGGACCTGAACTTCATGCGTGGCGTTGCTTGCATCATTCCAGGAACTTTGGAGATTGAAGGGAGGAAGAAAGCGTCTGAGCTCATCAGCGAGGTAACTTGCGGCCCTGGGGTGGGTGATGGGTGTCACGGCATGTACATTTCCTGACGAGAGGAAGGGCAATTGATTTTGTTTCTGATCGGGACGAAGTGAGGCAGATGTTACACTGTTAGTGGCAACTCACTTCTTAACTTCTTGACTGACTGCTTTTCTTACTGGTTTCCTACTCCAGCCTGGGTGGTATTTCAGTCAGCTTTGCAGCTGTGAAATTAATTCCCCTGTTAACATATAAGAATCATTCGCTGGGTATGAGGTCCCTGAACGGCCCAGACAGGTAAGCACTTGACTGCTGGCTGAAAGGTTAGCAGCTTGACCACACTCGGAGGTGCCTCAGAAGATGGTTCTGGTGATCTGTTATTAAAAGGTCACAGAGTTCTACTCTGCGCACAGGGGCTCACCGTCAGTCGGAATCAACCAGACAGCAACTGACAGCCACCTAAGGGGACTTTCCTAAGGTCCTTTTGAAGATTCGGACAGTGGGACAATGAAAAGAGGGCAGGCTTTTGAGCCTGACAGATGGAGATGGAAATCCTAGGCCCAGCACTCAAGTGCTGTGTGACTGCAAGCCAGTGACTTGCCCTCTCTGAGCCCTCGGCTTCTGAACCAGTCAAATGGGGATAACCACACCACCCTTGTCTGTTTTTATAAGGATTAGCAGTAATCTAAGCACTGTACTTCTCTGGCAGCTGTATATGAAATGGGTGTTATAATTTCTTAGTTAAAAGTAAATGAATTTATAGAATTCCAAGCTCAGGATTCCCTTCAGGTTCAAAAAGAATCGCTCTTTGAACTCTGGGGGGGGGGGGTGGATCTTGCTCACCCCTGAGAGGATGGCAGGACTTCCATTCATGGTCGAGGCAAAGACAAGAGGGCTTAAGGAAAGCAAAACGCACTCAGTGGCCGGCCTGAGTGAATTAGACCTGTTAGGGAGCCCTGGTGCCCCAGTGGTTAAGTGCTTGGCTACTAACTGAAAGGTCTGTGGTTCGAACCCACCAGCAGCTCTGTAGGAGAAAAGACCCGGTGATCCACTTTGACAAAGATCACAGTCTGGGAAACCCCGTGGGACTGTTCTACTCTGTCCCATAGGGTTGCTATGAGCGGGAATTGACCTGGTGGCACATAACACAGGTTCACTCACAGGTCGACCAGGTGTTCTGGGGAAGCAGGACTGGCTTTACTGTAGGAGTTCAAGTTCAGCTTTCTGCTTTGCTTTTCCAAACAAATCTCTGAAGTGAGTGGTTTCCAAACCTCATGGTGCTTCAGAACCCTTCAGGAGCTTTAAAACATGCAGGTACCCAGGCCCTGCCGGCGATTTACTGCATCCCAGTCTCCCAGCAGGAGCCCTGATGGCACAGTGGTTAAAGTGCTCGACTAGTAACCAGCAGGTCAGTGCCACCTGCCTCTCTGCAGGAGAAAGATGTGGCAGTCTGTTTCTGTAAAGATTACCAAAAACCCAACTCACTGCTATTGCATCAATTCTGACTCATAGCAACCTCCTCATTGAGTTTCCAAGGATATAAATCTTCAGATGCCTCGTCTTTCTTCCGCAGAGCAGCTGGTGGCTTTGAACCACCAAGCTTTCGGTTAGCATCCCAGTGCCTTAACCACTTCACCACCAGAGCTCCTTTCTGTAAAGATTACAGCCTTGGAAAGCCTATGGAGTGGTTCAGCTCTGTCCTATGGCAACTTACTCAACTCTACAGCAGTGGGTTTGTTCCGGGGGTGGGGGTGCGTGTGTGTGTATTTTTAAAGCTGCACCCTCGTTTCTGCCGCACCATGACAGCTGAGGAGCTCTGTTGTTGGTGACCAAAGGTCGGGGGAGACCTCAGAGTTAAATGATCATGTTCACAGTCATGGAGAAGGACTAGATTGCCTTTCCCAATTAACATCTGGTCCAACCCGTCCCGTCCTCCTCTCTGCTGCTTCCTGTTGAGTTCTGAGATCGTAGGAGCAGGTACCAGGCTGGATTCCAGAGTGACAGACCAGCAGCCTTTGCACAATAAGGATTTATAACTTCGTATAAAAACAATGTGTTTAAAGAACTCCTTGTCCTCTCTTGTGTGTGAATGCAGAGTAAATACCGTCAGCAGCCCCAGTCATTCAAGTACACGGCTGTGACCGACTCACCCAGCCTCCTTCATGCGAAGTTCAGCAATCAGATTACCAACGAGGTAACATAACAGCCCCTGATGGCTTCGGGACAGGTTTTTTAAACCCCACTAGATGGTTGCGCTCTACATACGTGTTTGTAGGGTCGTGGTGGTGGAGAGAGCATGGGGAGCGCATTGAGGTTGGGAATGAAAAGAATGTCGTTATGGGAACCTAAACATTGTCTGAAAGGAGCCCTGGTGGCATAGTGGTTAGGAGTGCGGCTGTTACCTGAAAAGTAGGTGGTTCAAAACCACCCGCTATCTGCTTCAGCAAAGATTGCAGCTTGGAAACCCTGTGGGCCAGTTCGGCTCTGTCACATGGGGTTGCTATGACTTGAGGCACCCAACATCTTCCAGAAGGAAAGAAGGCCCTGTTGAAAGTCCAGTTCAGTCTGTAATCTTTGTACTCAAGTGTGGCCCTGAGCAGCATCGGGGGTAGCTTGTTAGAAGTGCAGGTTCCCAGGCCCGGCCCCAGACCTACTGAGTCCAAGTGGCCATTTAACACATTAAGGTGTGAAAAGCCCTGGTCTATACTGCTTTTGCTCTCCCTGTAGAAATGTCGGGCGGTCAATTCTGTACTGTCATTTGGATTGATTGTCATGGGGAGGAGGTTGTCTGAGACCAGTTTTAAATAAGTGTTTGTCTGGCTTCTTGAGTCTCAGCATGTTCTTCTCACTCACCTTTCATCCAGTTCACACTTCCCTATGAAAGAATCTCATTACAGCATTCCTCTCCAATTGGTTCTGCTCATTCCTACTGGCTCTCCTACAGGTTTGAAATAGACAGTGAGGGTGGCAGATAATTAAATTACGTGTCTTCTTTAGTTCTTATTTGAGATTCTCCTTCTGACTCTAATGTTCAGAAGTCCGTTGTGGTTTGGCGATTTAAACTAATAGCTACCTCCATCACTCTAAGTTGTAAAGTAAGAAATGGCAACTTGGTGTAAGAAAATACAGAGAGATAGCATTCATGATCTTGTGCAGTAACTATCAATTACATTCTGAGTTAACCTTTCTTACCTACTCTGTGAGCTGGATGCTGTGAGGGTAACAGTGTTACTTGTGATGGCCTCTGTCTGGCCTTGGGAAACTGACCGACCACAGATCCATTTCTCATCTGAGAAGAGATGTTTTTGCCCCAGTGAGGCCATCCAGGGCTGCACTGGTGTGAAATCACCCGTGCAGAGATCTGGGTCATTAGTAAGGGATGTGGACCAGGGCTGGGGAACCTCCATTCCAACAAGCAAGAGTCTCTGGGTGGTGTAAACAGTTAATGTGCTTGACTGCTAACTGAAAGGTGGTAGGTTTGAGTCTATGCAGAGGCACCTTTAATGAAAGGCCTGGCCATCTACTTCCAAAAGGATTAGCCATTGAAAATGCTGTGGAACACAGTTCTACTCAGTCACATGTCGGGTAGCCATGAGTTGGAATTGGCTAGATGACAACTGAAAAAAAAAAAAAAAAAATTCTAACAAGTAGAGCTTCTAAATTCCCCAGGTCCTAAAATTGTCTCTAGGTTGAGTCCTTAAGGGAAAGTCTTATCATTTGAATAGCCTCAGTAGTGTTACTAAATTTATTTTTGTTTCCTTGGCTTACAATCGAGCAAAGCAAATTACAATTCCATATATTTTCTTTTTATATCACTCAACCAAGACTTCAAACTGGTTCGAAACAGTTCAGTCATGGCTGATGCAGCAAAATGAGAACAGACCCAAATTTATAAAATGTGGGTGTATACTAGAATGATAACTGGAATAAGAAAAATTAAGGGTCACAGCCCTGAAATGGGAGACTTGGGAGAGGTATAGTGAGCCCTTTTCAGGGGCCTGATGCAGGCGATTAGATTATTGCCAAGACTGTGGAGAGCAACACACATTTAAAGCAACACATTACGCTGCCATCTTTGAGCTGGGCACCGTTGTTTCCAACTCTGCTATTGAAGAGATTTGATTGGCTGTGCAGTATGCACATGCTGCCCTTGTATTCTGTTGTTGTAGTTATTGTTATTTGCCGTTGAGTCGGACCCGACTCATAGCGACCCCTCCTTGGGTTTCCAAGGTGTTATCACTACAGAAGTAGACTGCCCAACCTTCCTTCCAAGGAGTGGCTGGTGGGTTTGAACTGCCAGCCTTCTGGTTAACAGTTAAGTGCCTTAGGTACTACGCTACCAGAGCTCCAGTTTTCTAGGGAGGAGATTAAGTTTGTAGCAGAGTGTCAGCCTGTAATTTTTCCCTTTCTGCTTTTGTTTCATGAGCCATGACTGAATACAAAAGAACCAGTTCAAAGCCATGTTCTGAACTTGACTCGGGAAAGGCTGTCTTTATTGATGCAGCCTACCACAAACTGCCTGTTACAAACACAGTTTCCCCAGTTTTAGACCAAGGATCTCTGAGCACTCACTCTCCTACTTCTTTTTGCCCAGCGCCTCTATAAAGCAGCGGGAGAAGACGCCAGACACCAGTACACCATGACCCTGGGGCTTCCAGAGTTTGTCCTAGCGAAAATCAATGCGGCCAATCTGAGTGACGTAAGCCATTCTACTTGTTGACCGTCAGGCATGCTCCAAAGCTGCTGCCGTGTGTGTGAAGTTACACTATTTGGAGTCCACAGAAATGTTTTAAAATGTGTTATTTTAGATGCTCATGTTAAACGTTCCTTTGCACAAATGTGTTCAGTGCTGTGTATGGTAATGAGATTTTTTTCCCTCAAAATAGATAGCTTTTGCTTGTCAGAAATCAATTTGGGAACAGCACACTACAAATGGAAGGAGGAGCCTTTGTTCGTCAATTTGTGTAATTTTTTTTTTTTTTTAAAAGAAGATCTACATGTGTTCCTACTTTAGGCAAAATACAAGGAGTCCTGGCGTAACTTTCGTGCTCAAGGCTACAAGCTGACAACAGAGGCGCTCCCCTTCCAGACGGCTCGGGCCTCTGGAGAGATCGCCAGTGATGTGAGTTGAATGCTCTGACCTTCCCTCCTGCCTAATTTCTGTTAACTTCATGTAAAACACGGTCTGTGGCTGGTTTCCCTGAAATAGAGCAAATCTATAACCATGGGAGACAGGATGTCACCTGCAGAATATATTAGTTATGAATGAGGTTCTTTGACAGAGAGAGGAAAGGAAAGGCTCTGCTAATCGGAAACTAAGGAGTCCCTGAGTGGTGCCAAGGTTAAGCACTCAACTACTAACGGTTGGTGGTTCGAACCCACCCAGAGTCGATCCACTTCTGAAAGGTCACAGCCTGGAAAACCTTACGGAGTACAGTTCTGGTCTGCCCACCCGGGGTCCCCGTGAGTGAGAATCAGCTCTCGGCAACTAGCAACCACGTCAGAAGCTAAATCAGACCCAGGTCTCCAACAGGAAGGAGGTGATGAGTCATTTCTCATTGTAACATCGAGGGGCCAATCCCCTTGTAATGTGGAGGTGGCTGCTTGCCAGCTCCACCCGGAATTAGAAAGAGGACTTGCCACAGGAATTGTAAGGCAGCCCGCCCTCCCCCCTGTAGTTCTGTTGCTGGTGTTCGGGTTTGCCAGCTGTGTCCCACCACTCTGTTGATAACGTCCATAGCTTTGGGACGTGAAGGTGACTTTCTCTCTCCCACAAACAAATCACAGAAAATGTGAACATCAAATAAATGGATCCTGTCTTTTGGGTTTCATGCTTTGCCAAGTGTGAACGGATACAGCCCAAGTTTCTTTTTTTCCGTTTTCTGATAAATTCCTCTTGGCCGTAGGACACAGAAGGGGAACGAAGTCCTTGCTTTGGTTCTAAGGAAGTGATTTTAATTAGATAGGAAGAACAGAACAATGCTTTAATTGTTCCCTCCCAGGGTAGGAGGGCATGGCCAAGCCTCCTGTGGTTTTTCTTATAATCACCACTTTCTAGTTTAAGAAAGGAGTCCCTGGGTAGTACAAACAGTTAAGTGTTGTTACCAACTAAAGGTTGGAGGTTCGAGTCTACCCAGAGGTCTCGAAACAAAGGCCTGGGGATTTCCTTCCGAAACATCAGCCTTTGAAAACCCTGTGGTGCACAATTCTGTTCTGTCTTGCATGGGGTTGACGTGAGGCAGCATCAACTCAATGGCAGCTGGTAACTGGTGGTGTAAGAAAAGGTGGTTTGTCTGGGGTCTACGGTGAAAACACCCAGATGGGATTGCAGCAGGCTGAATGCGGGCCCCTGACTGGCTCGTCCCCTTCCAGTTTCTCTATAGACATGACTTTGTGAAGGAGCGGGGGCGTCTTATCGGGGCCCGCAGCGTGAGCGACGACCCTCGACTCCAGCACTGCCGGCGGATGGGCCAGCTGCAAAGTGAGCATCAGTACCGCAGGGAGGCCGCCAGCACCCAAGCCCAGTGCCACCTGCCCCTGGACATGGTGAACCTGGTCCATGCCAGGAAGGCCCAGGCCCTGGCCAGTGACTATGACTACAGGACACGGTGCCATGTGTTCACAGCACTGCCCGAGGACCTGGAGATGGCCTGGGCCAAGAAAGCCCATGCCCTGCAGAGTGAGGTATGGGGTCGTGTGGGTTGCAAGCCCACCCCCCGCCTTCCTCCTCCCGAAGCCTGAGGTCATGCTCTGCTCTCGCCCTCAGCTGCTTTGACTCCCCAGACAGCTAGCTACTTGCTCAACCTATTGTTTATATATAGTTGGAATCATTCACTCAGTCATTCAGCAAATATTTATTGAGCACAGGGGCTGCTACAGTGGGCTCAAACATAGCAACCATTGTGAAGAAGAGACAGGATGTGGGCAGTGTTTCTTTTTGTTGTTCACAGTGTCACTGTGAGTTGGCACCTAATAACAACAACATCAGCTATGTGCCAGGCACTGTCCTAGACCCTGGGGATATAGCAGTCAGTGGAAGAGTCACAAATGTCTGGGTTCAAGGAACTTCCATTCAAGTCCCCCTATCAGAAATAACAGCCATGACACTTACAGAGCTCTTACTCTGGGCTCAGCCCTGGGGACACAGTGGTTAAGGACTGGACTGTTAATTGAAAGGTCTTTGGTGTGGCGCACAAGCTGCTCCACAGGAGGAAGGTGTGGTAGTCTGCTTCCAAGATTCAACTAAACACCAAACTCACTGTCATCGAGTCGTTTCCAACTCATAGTGAGCCCTCCTTGAGATCCCATGGGGCGGCCCTACTCTGTCCTATAGGATCACTGTGATTCAGAGTCAGCTCAGTGGCAATGGGTTGGTTTGTTTGCTTTGGTTACTCTGAGCCAGTCACTGGTTTGAATATCTTGCATGGATTGTCTCATTTAATAGCTAAAGTACAGAATTTTCAGATCTCTTCAAGATATATTGCCTTGGCCTCATGGCCTTGAAGAGTGCAGTCATTACCAAAGTTAACAGTAGAAATCCCCGTTCTCCAAAACCAGTTAAGTTTTCAGAAAGAGGAGACAAGGGGAAGAAATACCCCCATCAGTAAACAATTTCCCTGACTTCTCTACTCTCATTTCCTGTGTTGCACCACCTGTCCTCGGGGCAGCATGCAGGGAAAATCACAGAAGTTTCCTAGGATGTACTTAGTATATATGCACGTGCTGAACCCTGCCCACCACCCAGCTTTCCTTGGGCTCATCCGTTCCCAGCCACACTTGGCATGTGAACAATGCTTTCACATTCCAACTTTCAGTTTACTAGTATTACTCCCATTTTTATAGATGTGGCAGCTCAGGCACCAATAACCTGAGGAACACCTTAAGGCCACACAACTGGCAGGGCAATGACTTGCTCAGGACCACACAGGCCATACAAGGCTAAGGGGTTCTTCTAGCTCTGTCTCTTGACACCCGGCTTGGTGCTCTTTGGCTCCCCCTGGTGGCTGGAATATGAACCTAGGTGCTCTGCCGCTGACGTTGGCTCGCAGGTGTGGGGTAGCTAGAACACAGTGACAGGTGGCTCTTCTCAGGGTCTGAGAAATCGTCTTAACATCAAAACCATTCTACACGGGGCAACAAGAGCCCCTCCTCTGTAGGATGGTGTGAGGACTGAGTGAGAAAATGGGTCGAAAGGAAACCCTACTCTGCATGAGTAGCGATTATAATGAGTTTTACTAATATGATAACAATATCCTGCCTTGCCTTTCTTCTGACCTCCTGTGCAATGGTTTGCATCGTTCTTGGGCTAGAACTCGGGCTGATGGCTGCAGTACCTACATCTGCAACAGCAGTGCTTCAAAATGGGGGTGCAGGGAAACCCCAATGCATGAAGCTGAAGGGGGCTCCAGACCTTAATGTTTGTTAGGGGAAATGAGGAGACTGCCATTTGGGGAAGTCAGGTTCAACTGGGCAGCAACTCCATTCTGTTATCTCAGAATCCTTCCCCGAAGCCATCTCTGGGTAGCTGATTCCTCTTGGCGCCCCTCCCTTCTCCCCCTCTTTTATTGTGAAGTCTGGGGTTGGTGTGTTGTTTTTGGGGTCGGTGTGAATAGTCAAAGCTGGGCTGGGAGCTGCAATATCAATAGACGATCCATTTTATGAGAGAGTCGGAGGCACAGTCAGATCTTTGGGGAACCTGCATCTTGCTTTCTGACTTACCTGCAATCGTACTGTTCAGCTCAACAAAAGGCAAGTTGAAAGAGCGCTCCCCACTTCATCTCGCTTATGAAAGGAGCAAGGCTGGGCTGTGAAGAGGCCCTGTAGGATTATTCTCTGTAACTTAGAAATTTATCCAATTTTCTCTGTTCTTTATCAGAGTGGAAGGCAAAAACGTTGCCGGTGTAGACTGAAAGATCATGGTATGAAAAGCAATCTTACTGACACGGGGTTTTGAAACCTGGTCCTACGCCTGAGTGATGTCTCCTTCCCCAGTTGGATAGCAGAGTGGAATTTGCACAGGGACATTAACCAGCAGACAGTAGATCAGACACGAACCCTCTTTGAGGCCAGCTGTGAGGAACGCTGGGAATTCTGAAATGAAAGAGAACTAAAAAGGCCGAGAGGCTGATTTCTGCAGTGATATTTTGCGTTACAGCAAAGCTTATATCTAAATTAGAGAAATGCCATCAGCTTCGTTTAGATCCAAACTTGAGATTTCCTTAGAGAGGTTTTTTTCCACCTTTAAAAATACCTAAGTTCCATCAAGAGAAGAAGAAAAGCGTTCGTGTGACTGACTGTCCTCATTGTGGGTGATGGTGGGCAGGTCAGAGAAGAGTAATAAGATTTAACATTTCGGGAGACTTCTAATCAGACCTGTTGTCTTAAAGCATCGCTTACTGTTTTTCCCAGGAATGATGGCTGCTCAACTGTAGTCCCCATCTTCTGGGCCCTTCAAAGGAAGAACGAGGCTAGGGCTTGGCCTACGTTTACAATATAAGCAAATTGTAATAATTGCAGTGGGAAGGGGGAGTAAAAATGGGACAGAGAAAGATGAAAATGGTTGTACTCAGGATCGGCCAGTTGTATCCAAGTTTGTTCCAGTGTTTAGAGTCCTGCTGTAATGGCTCCCCACCTCCTGCTACTACTGCTCTCTCTAACACACACACACACACACACACGCCTTTAAATTACAGAGTATCTCTTGCCCCTGAGTACACTTAGGTGCTTTCATGAGAACATGGGGGTTGTAATCTTGGAGGGGTTATAATCTCCAGGTATCATAGAAGGAAACTGAGTCACGTCTTGGTATCAAGTGATTTTTTCCAAGTCACAGCATGTTGATCCCGAACTCACAGCCCTTTATACCTGAGCCGTGTCTAGAAGTTTCTGTTTAGACAGGTGGGCAGTCACCTCACTGCTGGAAGGAAGCCCATCTTGGCTCGCTCTTTAAGTGCTCATTCACGCTTTGCATCCCGCTCACCTGCTGGCAGTGCCCTCCGGTATCTCGTGCGTGATCCATTCTTTTTAATTCCTGGCCCAATGCACAAATGCAGAGAGTGGATGCGGTGCCGCGTGGGCTGTGCTCAGAATGAAGCTGTTGTGACGAAGCATTATTACGATTGCTTTTATAAACCAGGGCCTCTTGAAACGCCCTCACAGCCTTAGACGTTTTCCTGATGAGAGGCAATGATTTTCTTCCCGCAGCTGCGCTACAAAGCTGACCTGATGGGCATGAGGGGTGCGGGCTGGCTGGCTCTGAGCTCCCCGCAGATGGAGAGTGCAAGGAAGGCTGGAGAACTCATCAGTGAGGTATCACCTGCCTCGACACGGAACTACCCAGCAGCCTAGCATTTGTTTCCTTTGGAGGAGGAAACCTGCCCGTGGGGTGGGCTCCCAAGAGGGCCCAATGGCCACGTGGATCACCAGTGCTTTGCTAGGACCATTTCCAGGCCAATCCCAAAGTGGAACAAGATTTCCCTCCCAATTCATTCACTGCTGGGGAACTAAGGCACCTTCTGAATTGGGCAATGAAAGATGACTGACGCATTAGAAGGTTACTGATAGATATGCTATGTCCAATTATGAACTAAACCGGCCCATTACTTTCATGAGTAGGGGAGAAATTTGCCACCCACCTACGGAATTTACTCACAGTGTCCACTGTCTGGAGGTTATATGATTACCCGTTGCCGTTGAGTTGATCCCAACTAGCATAGTGCCTTAAGCACTTGACTGCTAACCAGAAGGCTGGCAGTTAAACCCACCAGCCACTCCTCGGAAGGAAGATGGGGCAATCTACTTCCATAGTGATACTGCCTCGGAAACCCAAGGAGGGGTCGCTATGAGTCAGGTCCAACTCGACTGCACATAACAACAACAACATGACGACCCCTGTGGGTCAGAGCAGAACTGTGCCCTGCAAGGTTTTCAATGGCTGATTTTTCAGAAAGACATCACCAGGCCTTTCTTCCGAGGTGTCTCTGGGTGGATGAACCTCCAATCTTTCAGTTAGCAGCTGACTTCCTTAACCATTCGCACCACCCGGGGCTCCTGTATGATTTCAGATAATGTTAAGAGTTCCACAGGGATGCTGGCATGACCCGAACCCCCTACCCTACTGGCCTTGGGATCTTTGCCGTGGAATCCCCTGGAGGGTGACACTGCTTTCTTCAGTTTCTTAATAATAGAACTTATTGGACAGGGTCCAGCAGGGCCACACAGGTGCTGAATTCTGCTCTCTCCTGAGCCCCTATACTGTGCTGAGTCATGGTATTTTGTAGCTTCTCTCTTTAGGAGGGTAAATATCTGCATCATGTTCCTTATCACAGAGGTAGCTTAGACCTTTTCCTTATCCTTGATTGCATGTGCCCACCAAGAAGAGAAACTTGTTTTCCAGTAACATCTTTGGCACATTTGGTCCTGTGTTGGTGGGGGGTGAAGCCACATCTGGACAGACACCTGAGGTCTGGTATGTTTCTTACAGACCAAATACCGTAAGAAGCCAGACAGCATCAAGTTCACCACAGTGGTCGACTCCCCAGACCTGGTGCATGCCAAGAGCAGCTACATGCACTGCAACGAGGTGGGTTCCTTCTCACTCATCTCATGTGTGCTGATGAGGGTAGTGCCTCTCGGGGGTTGGTGCTTGATATAGATGGGTAGATGTGAGTGCCAACCCTGGTTTGACCATCTACTGCCTGGATGGCTGTGGAGCAGTTACTTAAGCTCTTCTAACCTCCTTTTCCTTGTTTCAAAGGGAGAGTCATGACAGCAACCATCTCATAAGATTAAATGGATTAAAAACAAAAAACCTGCTGCTGTTGAGTCGGTTCTGACTCAGAGTAGAACTGCCCCAAAGGGTTCCCTAGGCTGTAATCTTTATAGAAGCAGGCTACCACATCGTTCTCCTGCAGAGTGGCTGGTGGGTGAGCAGTCTTTTGGTTAGCAGCCAAACATTTCACCACTGTGCCACCAGAGCTGCTAAAATGAATTAAATGGGGATTAAATAAGTAAAAGCATGCAAAGCTTGTAGCAAGTGCCTGGAACAACAAATAAATGTCCTTAATAAATGTCCCTTACCATGGTTTTGTTAATAGTCATAACAATAATAGTACTAAATATTATTGATGATACTTCACCAAACACAAGCTAAGCTAAGCTACATTTTGATTTTTGATTGATGGTCATAGAATTCAGAGTGACCGAGTTAGGAAAAAGAAAAAAAAAAAGAACAGTTACATTAAAGGCTTCTTTCTGCTTTTACCCTCTGCATAATTTAGCCTCATTTCCTCCCCCCTATATTCATTTGGAGGAATGGAAAGTTACATATTTTCTTTCCAGAAATTGCAGCTTTACACATACAGCAACGACTGCCCTGTCCTCACAGAGAGCCAGCATGTGTACTGACCGGTGCACGTTTGCAAAGCCCATATTGAGCTTGGAAATACATTGGAATATTCAACATTATGTTTTCTTTCCTAAAGATAGAAGAGACTCAACCACTTCCTAAAATTTTTCATAATTCTTAAATCAGCACTCTTAATATAGCAAATAAGACAAAGCTTAAGATGTACAATTGTGTCTTCCTGGGATCCAGGTGACAATGAAGGCTTTAATTTTCTGAACACATGCTAAGGCATTTTGTGATGAAAAGGAGTTACAGCTGCTGTGTCTTCTTGTTATTCTTACTCTTACTGTTAGTGTTAAACAAAGGCATGCCCAGTGCTCAGCTGCAAAGATTCTCTGAAATACCCACACAGTTTGACAGTTTGTATGTAAAACACAGGATGGCTAGCCATGACATTGGTGTGTGGCCCATTTAGAGCAAATCTTTTTTTCTTTTTTTTAAATTTTTGTATTGTGTTATATATACCTCTCTCTCTCTGTCTCTATACATCTATCTATATAACTCACAACATTTGCCAATACAACATTTTTCAGGCATACAATTTAGTGATATCAATTACATTAGTCAGGTTATGGAGTCCCTGGGTGTCACAGACTGTTAAGCTCTTGACTACTAGCTGACAGGTTGGCAGTTCAAACCCACCCAGAGCCACCTTCAAAGACAGGCTTGATGATTTGCACCCCATAGGTGACAGCTTTGAAAACCGTATGGGGCAGTTCTACTCTGTATGCTTGGGGCTGCCGTGAGTCAGAACAACTCAATGACAATAACAGCAACACAAAAGTCATGTTGTGCAACCATCACCTGTAATCAATGCCAGATTTTCCATCACCATAAGTAGAAACTCACGGGGGGGGGCAGATCTCGAATATTTTTAACACGGTCTAACTGCAGCCACCTCACCTGACCCTAGCTAGGTAGGCACCCTCCATCCACTGGCAGGTTCTGGAAGGATGCTTTCGATGTGCAGGGCTGGACCCCATCTCCTCTGGTGGGTGGGCACTCGGTGAGAGGGCAGGAAAGGACATCAGCTTGCTTTTCCCCTATGATTTCAACAAGTGCAGTTCTACATTTACGTGAGTTGCTCTTACTCCCAGCGTCTGTACAAGTCGGGGGATGCTGAGGCCCTGCACAGGTACACCCTGATCCCTGACCACCCCGAATTCACCCGAGCCCGCCTCAACGCACTTCATCTGAGTGACGTAAGTGAGCCTATTGTTCATGTGACAAGCATCTGCGTGTGCACGTTGTCTGTCCCTATGCTGGATTTGTTGGACTGTTTTTTCAATTGTTGCAAAAATAGAGACCACACAACATTTGCCAGTTCAACATTTGCCACTTGTACAATTCAATGGACCCAATTACATCAGTCTGGGTGCAACCATCACCAATATCCGTGGCTATATTTCAAACTGATTTTTTTTTTTTTTAAAGTGCTAGGAAGAAGGACTGATGGTGGGACACACTGCCTGTGTTCTTCAGGTCACTGCCTCTCTGGGACTCAGTTTTCTCAGCTGTCAAATGAGGGTAGGGCTGGACTCAATGACATCAGTGGTCCCTGCTAGCTCTGAGGTTCTGTCCTAAGCATGGCTTCAAGGACTCTGTGCGTGCTGGGTTACGGTCAGGGAGTGGCCCCTGGCCCTGGCAGCTGTAGACGCCTGTTCTGCTTGTTTGCTGGACCCGTCTCCTTAGCCATTCAGAGAGTGTAGCTTTGCAGCTGGAGCGGCAGTCTTCGGCCCAGCAGTTTGGAAGGATACCTCAATTGAAGCTTGTCAGGTCCAAATGCAGCTCGCACTTTGTGCACGGAGCTGTGGCCTCCAACACTTTTGTTTCCCTTAGATGTATGCCCTTTGCGTGCATAACTGAGAAGCTGTTTCCTAAACCCAGGCTTGTTGTTAGCAGGGGTTGGATGTCCCTGGCTGTAATAGAATAGGCGGCCGCTCGGCTAGCAAAGCTGTGATCCTCGGATAACAGGGAGCCGGGCGGCGGAATCAAAAGCTGCTGTCAGATCCGAATCACACAGGCCGAGAGTGTCCGCCTGGGGCAGCGCGGGGCCTCCCAGAGTCCAGCCATTCTTCCCTCTCTGGCCTTGCCATTGTGTCCTGGGGCTCCGTGCAGATCAACAGCTGCTACTGTTCACCCCGGAGGTGGCTGCCTCGCGGGGGATGGTGAGAGGCACCTTCTAGTTAGCGTGTGTATTAGTTTGTTGCGTTTGTAAAGCCCTGTGGGATCCCATGCAGTGAATGCAACGGTGCTTTGTAAATATGAGTTATTATGACCATTTGATGCTTTTGAGGGATGCGAGAGGGATAATTTTAGAATAGCAGCTCTGGTGCGCTGACCTCCATCCTCCTCCCCCTTGGCAGAGCTTGGACAAAACATGTGTCTCATTAATGCTCCAAGGATGGGGGAAGGCAAGGCCTCCATTTGAGGAGCTGTCAGAAGCCCATAGCCATGGACACTGGGATAAAACCACCAGGCCATTGGGGTCTGTTAGAAGGAATACAGCCACCCCAGGTTGGTGATAGAAGCATCTTTGCTGTGACAAGGGATGCCAGTCTGCACAGTCCTGGAGCTGAAATTAGCTGCTAGGGTATGCGGATATGGAGAACTCATGAACCTCTTGAAAGCTCACTCTTTTGGGGGCGTGGAGAATACGTACAATTGGATCAAGTGCTCTGTGCGGAAGATGTGGAGGGAAACTGACCTTCCTGGGCAAAGAAAGCCATTGAGATGTGTAAGGCAGCTGAAATAACTCAAAATCAAATGACTCTAATGTGTGAGGATGAGGACAAAACTGTGCCCACTGTGATAAAGAAGAAGAACGCCCAGGGTTCCAAATCAAAGAGCCTGTGGAATCTAAAGGCTCCCAGTGGCAAGGCAAAAACCTCAACAGAATAAAAAAACTCAGGGAGGAAGTGAGCACAAGCAAGCAAATAGTACACAGGGAGAAGTTACCAGGTGAAGGGAGCCAGTGCCTTATGGAGCACCCCAATCTGGGTCACAGTCTCCACTTGGCCCTGACAGACTCTGGAGCTGGGGTAGCATGGAGACCAGACTGGGGTGATGCTGGAGTTTCATGTCATGCAAAATTTGATGTAATTACCTAGTCCCAGTAAGGTATGGAGGCCGTGGTTAGGAAGCCACTGTGTCCCTTTTACAGAGTATGAGGAGGGTTTTGACTGTATTTGCTACTCTCATACTTGTGGGCCCACCAAAACAGGGTGTATGTGTGTCATTGTCTCAATGCTCCTTCCTTTTCAGGTATCACTCAGTCCTGGCTGCTGCACTCAGTGGTGACCCAGTAAATGTAATCAGGTTGGCCTTGTTTGTGACCCATCAGTTAGGTGATTACCCCAGCAGTGGCTGGTTGCATATGTCCAGGACCTTGAATGTTGAAGGCATAAGGCTCATGGATGTTGGAACTAGAGATGATGATGAAGGTGAAAGTGATGATTGATGATGAGTTCCGCCATTGGCCCAAGTCACTCGTGGCCCCTCTAGTTCCAGGCCCAGAAGTGGGGTGGTGGGAGGTTCTTTGCTTTCCCTTTCATCTGCTTCTCCTTTGCTTAATCCCCCAACTCCCCTGGAGGACAGGAGCCCCAGTCTTGACCTCCATTTCCAGGTAACAAAGGTAAGGTTTTTAAGGGCCCTGTGACCTGCTGCAGTTCATGGAATGAATGAGCGACCGGCCCAGTCTGGGGGCTGTCACTTTGTCATCTGCCAATAATGTGGTCTGGTTGCTCTCTCCTGCTGTCTCCCTTCTCTGCGGCGGAATAAAGGGCAGTCCTCCACCGGGCTCTCCAGATGACGCCTTTCATGGAGCCATTCCCTTATCTTGAACAAAGCTACATGAAGGCATGGAAGATTTTGATGCCTCTCTCAGTGATGTGGGCTACCCGACAGCTAAGAGGATGTGATTACAGATGCCCAGAGGATGTGTGAGAACAACTTGCAAAGGGGAAAAAGCAAAAAATGAAGATATGATATACATGGGCCAGGTGCTCAGCCAGGATTTTGACAAATTCAGTTCAGGTGAAGGCTGTTCCCTTAGTTCAGGCACTGGGGTGCACAGGAGACGCGGCAAGCCTCATAGACGGTAGTTGGGACATGGCCCTGAAGCCAGGCTGAAGACATTCCCAGGAAGTCTGTGGAGCTACCAAACATATGGTTCCAAACGCAAGGAACAGGGCTATCAGCTGTGAGAAACAAAGTTCCTGAACGCTGAGGTGTGGCATCTGACAGCTGCAGGCCTGAGGCACTGAAAGTGAAGGCAAAGACAGAGAAGAGTGGAGGGCTCCTTCTGATACCAACGGCCAATGAGCCTGACCCACAGACCACAAGAGCAGGGACTAATCTCATGTTGGGACTCAGAGAAAGCCTGATGATGGCTCCATGGCCAGCCCAACCAATCCTGGAGCTGGGGCGGTCTCAGAATGTCCCTGGGGCCCTGGACTCTGCCATCCTGGGTATCAACAAGGCAGAGAGTACAGGTTTAGCAACCTCTTCTGCTACGAACCAACCACATGAAAAGCAGTAGAGCTGCTCACTCCCTGCTTACTCGTTTCTTTGTTTTCCCAATCTAGAAAGCCTACCGAAACTCATGGGAGCAGATCCGGGCTGGCGGCTGTGACTTCAGGCTGGACGCTATCCCATTCCAGACAGCCCGTGCATCCAGAGAGATCGCCAGTGATGTAAGACCTGTGTCTCCTCCTGGCTTACCCATAGGTTTTGTTATGTTCTTCCCAGTCCTGGTGAAAGGTAAAACCATCAGGACCCTCTTGAGATTCTCACCTCACCAAAGTTGAACATATATGTCAAATGAAAGGGAAAATAAAATAGGTCTTATTATCTAGGATTTTAGCCAGAAATTTGAGATTGGGGAAAATTATAGTCAAAGAAGCCTTCTTAGAAGTTCGTGTATGTGTACCTAGAAATCAATGAATATGAACCAGTTTGCTGATTTGCAATAAAGAGACTTCTTTTAGCTGAAGTATAGTGTGGCAGGAAAGTAAGAGGTTGGGCTTTTGCCCTGCATTGACTGGATTACACACCCTGGCTCGGTCACTTAGGGAATGACAGTTTGGTCTTGGGTGAGTTAATTAAAGTCTTTGAACTCAAGTTTCTATAGCTATGAAATAGGGATCTAATGCTTGTCTCCAGGGATTGATGTGGGCATGGAAACAAAATGATACACAGCAAGTGCACATAGCAGGTGTTCACACACGGCAGTTATTATTACCAAAGAGGGAGAAGTCGTAGACTAGGGAAGTGCCCCTCAGCACTAGATCTGTGCTTGTCTGTGAACTGTCTGCTCCCAGTCCATGATGAGATAAGTACAGAAGTCGAGAGCAAGCATTTAGAAACATTTCCAGCAATTTGACATTACGACAGCAAGCTTGTGTTGGGTGGATTCATCTCATTGAACAGGGTAAAGGCCAGTTGAATGTTATCCAACTTGTGTGGGACGACTCCATACTAGTCACGTGTTATAGGGCCATATGTTGGTCTTTGATGGACGAGAAATTTAAAAAGTGAAACAAAATGAAACTGGTCCTTTACTACTGATAGTTGAGTTCTGGGCCAGGTTCCTCAAAGCTGGGAAGAATCAAAGGCTGTGGTGAGCAGACACATTTTCCTTCCAATTGGAGTATTACAATAGCAACAATGTCAGTAGATACTATTGGTCTCACATGCTTTAGACATGCTACCAGGAGGGACCAGTCCCTGGAGAAGGATGTCGTGCTTGGTAAAGAAGAGGGTCAGCAAAAAGAGGAAGCCCCTCAATGAGATGGATTGACACAGGGGCTGCAACACTGGGCTGAAACACAGCAGTGATTGTGAGGATGGCCCAGAACAGGGCAATGTTTAGCTGTGTTGTGCATAGAGTTGCTATGAGTTGGTGACTCGATGGCACCTAACAACAATAAACCATAATCAGTGGACACAGCCTATGCCTGACATGACACTCAGTCCTCATTTTATTAACATCCCCATGGGGTGGAGATTGATTCTCCCATTTTAACAGATGGGGAAATGGAGACTCAGAGACATTGAGTAACTGGTCCCAGGTCACACAGCTAGAAGGTAGCAGAACCAGTGCAGAACCCAGCTCCACAGGAACCAAAGCCTGTGCCCTTAACCTGCTGTTGGATTTCCTGCTGAGATGCCAGTGGACTGGGGGAGGGACATGTCCATGACCTATCTGTTCCCCTGACATGTAGTTCCGGTACAAAGAGGCCTTCCTGCGGAACCGGGGCCTGCAGATTGGGTACTGCAGCATCAACGACGACCCGAGGATGAGGCATTTCGTCAGTGTCAGCAAACTCCAGAGTGACAACGAGTACAAGAGGGACTTTGCCAAGACCCGGTCCCAGTTCCACAGCTGTGCGGATCAGCCTGGCCTCCTCCAAGCCAAGAGGAGCCAGCAGTTGGCCAGTGATGTGCACTACAGGCAGCCTCTGGCCCAGCCCACCTGCGACCCAGAGCAGCTGGGCCTGAAACACGCGCAGAAGGCTCACCAGCTACAGAGCGATGTGAGTGCTTGCCCCCACCTTAGCAAGGCCCTTCTCCCAGTGCCCCTTCGTGAGGGGCGGCCGTAATTCCACAATCCACCCACAGACTGAGATAGAATCCAGGCGACCTTAGTGCCAGAAGTCATAACAGCAATGATTACCATTTGTTAAAGGAGCTTGGGTGGTACAGTGGTTAAGTGCTCAGCCATTAATGGAAGTGTTGGCAGTTTGGATGCAACAATCGCTCTGCTGGGGAAAAAACCTGGCAATCAGCTCCCATAAAGATTACAGCCTAGCAAACCCTATGGGGGCAGTTTTATTCTGTATTATAAGGTCACCATAAGTTGAAATTGACTCATGGCATGCAACAACAACAATAAGAGCAACCATTTGCCAAGTCTCTATTGTGGGTCTGGTTCTATGCCCAATGCTTTCTAAGCATTGTGCCATGCAGCCTTCACAACAAATGCAATACTGTCCATTTTACAGATTCAGAAAACAGGCTCAGAGAGGTTCAGAAACTTATTTAAGATCACACAGCAAATAAGTGACAGATCTGGGATGTGACCCCATTTGACTTGATGTGAGAGCCCAAGTTCTTGATTGCAATGCTGTGCTTTTTCTAATGGGTCTTAGTAGTTAGCTAACCTACCCTTTGCTGTTTTCCTGGGAGGAAATTGAAGCCCAGAGAGGGGAAGTGACTTCCCCAAGGCCCCAGATGAGTTAAGGTAGCAGCTTGAACTTGAACCAGGTCTTCTGACTCCATGGCTAGTTCCCTTCCCATCCCCACCCCACTCCACTCTCCACCCCTATTGCCCTATTTGAATGTGAAGATGCAAGAGATGACAACACGCTGGCCTGGCTCACAACACATTGGGTCCTCTATGCCAGGGATTTCCTGCTTAAGGTAATTTGCTCCCCTTGTCCTGTCTTACTGACAACATATTCTCTATCTCACAGCTGCCCTCTTTTTATCCTATCCACTCCGTGATCAAACCATCCCATACCCTGCTGACCTATTCCTCCTGCTTCCCTCCTTTCCCCAAGGTCAAGTACAAATCAGACTTGAATCTGACCAGAGGTGTCGGCTGGACCCCTCCCGGCTCCTACAAAGTGGAAATGGCTCGCCGGGCTGCAGAACTGGCCAACGCCAGGGGCCTGGCTCTCCGGGGTACTTATGTGAGTAGCAAGCTGCAAACTGAACCCTAGCCTGCAAGGCGTTGGGGGAAAGGCAAACCCATTGTTTCTTTTCATAGTTTATTTTTGGCCAAAGGTCAGCTGGCTCTAAAGAAGTGTGAAATGTAGCTTGAGCAAGGAGCCCGATTTCATGGGTCTGAGATGACCGGGCGGGTGACACACAGGTTAAACTTCCTGCAGGGTTTTCTCTGATGTCACAGCCATTAGTTCTGCAGAAGCAAACCTACTGGGGCTACATCAATCTGGGGCCAGGGCAGCCAGGCTGCAGTGACTGCTTGCTCACTACATGCGCGGAAAGGGTCAGGGACTCGCTGGTTGCAACAGTCGGGGTTTTGAATCTGACTTTGTTCAGAAAAAAAAGACGCCAAGTCTGAATCAGAGACTGGCTTTACTGCTTTCTCCTTCTTGCCTTGAGGGTCCTTTTTCCTGGGGAAGAAGGGAGGGGGAGGGGCAAGGAGCGTGAACATTTTAAATGCCCCTGGAGACCCTGGGTCAGGAAAACGGTTAAGCACTGGATGATTAGGCGAAACCTTGGTGATTTGAACTCCCCAGAGGCACCTTGGAAAATAGTCCTGGTGACCTGCTTCTGAAACGTCATAGCTTTGAAAATCCTACAGAGCAGTGCCGCTCTGTACACGTGGGCTCGCCATAAGGTGGGATTGACGGCAACCACCAGATGGAGGCGTTTTAGACAGTTTGTGCTAAGGGGGCGGGGATGGAGCTTGGTTTTAACTCAGGGAGGTTATGTTTGGTTTCTGCAGGGAGCGCCAGAGGCTGCGAACCCTAGTGGTCATCAGCAGGAAGACGTGAACCCTGATGCCACTGAGATTCTGCACGTCAAGAGGAGGAAAGCTCTGTACTGAGTGGCGTCCACCCAAGAGCCTGGGCAGAGAAGCTGGAGAGGATGTTTGCTCCCAGAAAGAAGCTTTCCCTAGGATCAGCTTGGATAAGCTGTACAAACAACACACCTAGCCACTCCACTCCACCTCTATTGAACAGCGCCAGTAGGAGAGTGAATGCAGGGTGTTGTGTTTTTGGTCTTTATCTAGCACCTGGCAGTGGCTGACTGGTTCTGTGGGGTAGCTCTTGTGTCTGGAATAAAGGAATAAAGATGTACAGATAACTCCCACTGGGGCTGGCTGGGCACTCTGTAATTCCTGTCTGCAAATGTTCAAGGTGCAGCCAGTCTCCTTGAACACTGATTTTCTAGAACAATTGTTGGAAGCAAACATGATGCTTTTCAGGTTGAGGCCATCGTTCCTTGGGTTCCCCAGGGGGCAGAGGGAGACTTTGAAATGTTAGAAATGCTGATCCAGGAAGCCTGGGCTGGGCAGCGAGTGTCTTCACTTGACCTACAGACACTCTGCTATGTGCCCAAGAGGCTCCTCAGGTCCCTTGCTGCCCGATGTGGCCTTGCCTTGTCTGGGTGCTACGGAGAATAGGCTCTGAAGTTCAGACGACACCACCTTAGAAGCCAGCCTCTCTTTGGATGGTGACTTTGATCCAATTCAGGAACTTGGGCACTTGGGTGTAGACCCCTGGCTTCTTTCCACATTCCACACCCCAGCTCACTATCCCGTAGATGTAGTAGGTACCATCCTTCTCACAGGTCAGAGGGCCTCCTGAGTCTCCCTAAGGAAAAAGAGGCACGGATTCAGCCATGTGAAGCAGAATATATTTGGAAAGGCTCCCACCACCTGCAAAGGGATGCCAGGTGGGGTGGGATGGAATCACGAGAAGGCTGGAGAGTAGTGGCAGGGCTCTTACTCTGCCTCATGTGACTGACCCAGGGCTCTCAAGGGAGAGGTACAAATACTGTCCTTTATACCTGAGTGAGTGACAGTTTGGCAGAGACACCTCAGGGCTGTGATACAGTGCTATTGGCATGAACAGCCCCCTCCTGACCCTTAGATAGATAGGTAGGTAGCTTGATTAATAGATAGATAGGCAGAGCTGATGATTAGATAGGTAGATGATAGACAGATAAATCATAACTGCTCTTGACTCATGGTGACCTTCTCTACAACAGAATGAAATGTTGCCTGGTCCTATGTTATCCTCATGACTGCCAGCATGTTTGAGTCTAACACTGCCCCTGTTACAAATATTACTGAGGTACATCATCAGGGGCCCTTGACTTCCTCATTCTGGCAGCCAACCTGTAGGGTGGTATGCTGTCTGAGCCAGCAGGGCACATACAGGGTGAGCAGCATGGGGACTCAGGGACAGCCTGGCCTGGACATTAAAGCAAAGTCCATGGGGTTTGGGGATTCCACACCAGGCTCCACCACCTGTTAGCTGTGGGACCTGGGGCCTCAGTTTCACAAAGTATAAACTGTGGGTAGAAATAGACTTCCCACCCC